TACTCTGCCACCCTTAAGACCCACAGTTGTCAGAAAAGCCGTTCCTGCCCTTGTCAGAAATGATGTTCCTACGGAAGAAGTGTGGTGCTGTGAGCACTGCTTGTTCAAACAATAATGTACAGTAAAAGGAAATGGTACGTTCTTAAACGAACTTCTTCCAGAAGTCATAACTTCACTAGAAAGATCTAAAGAAACCTTTCTTGTAAGGAAATCTAAGAAAAAAGCAGTTGTATTACATCAGATTTCCATAGATGGTAACATCCGGCACTGGCCTCCCAAACAAACAGAAAGGATTGCTGGCAGCTCAGATCTTTGGATTCTTTCATTGCCATTTGGAGCTACCACTGACTTTGGATGGAGGCAAACGGAACTGGAGACTAGAGCAGAGAGTCAGGCCCTGTGTGTACGTGTGCTGAGAATGACAGCATAAGAATAGGAAGGAAGCAAGAAGCAAGTCTCCACCTCCTGTCCTACACTCCTCACCCTACAGGGAGCCAAGAGTTCATGGGAGTTCTACCATTTGTCTGCATAACAACAAAGAATAAAGAATCGTACAAGCTGGCATACATGCCATGTCTTGAGTCTAAGACCTTTATTTCACACTTTCTTTCTTAAAAAACAAACAAACAACTCTTTATTGTTGCAAATATTACATATGCACCCTTCCCCTGCACTGACACCTTCTATCCTGCCCCTTCCCCCACCCCAGGCCTTTACCACACTATTGTCTGTATGCATGGGTTAGCATATATGCATACAAGTTCTTTGGTTAATCTCTTCCTACCACCCACCCAGACCAGCCTTCTCTCTGAGATAATAAGGAATATGACACTTGCTCTCAAACACGAATGTCACCTGACAGACATAAATACACACAGTAAAAACCCATAACAGAAGCGGGAAGACCTTGGAGGTGCTGAGACCAAGAAGACCTCCAACGTGGCTAGTCTTAGAATCTCTACCTTCGATGGAAGCAGAGCCGAGGCATTTTTTTTTAAATGCTACCTAAGTTTGGGACAACCATTACAGTAATTAAGTGTTATTCTGAAAGATGTCCTGTACTCACCCTACATGAATATTTTTAAGGAATCCATTAAAAACCATTGCTTAAATAACACTCTAGTCTTTGGCTAAGGAGAGATCATGTGTTGCTTACATAAAAACTACAGGAAAATCTAGCCGTTAATTCAAAACGCATGCCTGAAAATAGGGAAGAGAAATCCCATGGAAATAGTAACACTCTTTCGTAATGCACTTAGGTGATTTTAAGCACCACCTATCATGCATATTTTTCAACTGTTTCCTTCCAAAAACTAAAAATGTCTTGTATTTTACAGACCGTATGTTAGCATTGTTGCTTGCCACACACATAGGCAAATTGTTCAAAAGCTTCGATATTTAAATTAAAATAAAACGCATGCCTAGAGTGGTAAATGTTCCTGGGTTGATAAAGAGTGGCAGCCGATAGACTCCCAAAATTGACTGAAGTCTGTGATATTAGAAAGACGAAAAATTTATCTAGTTTTAGCAAATGTCAAATCAGCAGCTATTGCTTTTAAGATTAATAAAAGATATAATGGCTTCCAGATAGCCTCTAAATAGAGATTACTATGAATGGGGAAGTGATTTACCAACAGTCACCACAATGAGATTTCTTTAAAGGTTACAATCATCAGTTATTTAGCGGAAACACTGCTGAGAACGCCTGGTCATTTCTTGAATAATGCATTATATTCTTTGTAGATTTGATCTGTATTATAGCAATACAGATATTTCTAAAATAATGGAAAAAACTATCTGTTACCTTCCAATTGCTTAACATATCATTTCCACGAAGTAATTGACTCGGGACATATTACACACTGTCACTGGGGTGTTCTTTCTGCAGGCATAACTTGTAAATAATCTGCACACAATGGGCACCACCAAACAAACTCATCAACCTTTATGGACGTTTAAGAAAAGATGAGATGAATGCAGGGCAGAGTGAAGGACCTTTCTGAAGCAGTAAATTAAAATGATTAAAGTTCTATATAGTGGGTGTGACAAATTTACATTTAAGCTCTGCCGTTTAATTATTAACATGAATAACTCATAACTTTTTTTTTAATGGTGCCTACATTGTGTAAGTCCTTCTCATCTAAACTTCCAAATGCCTTTAGGTTTACTCAAGAGACTGCCTGGAGAAGCACAAAGTATAATGTGTATTGTTTTATTGTTGGAGTATGAACTGTACTTCCCAGGATGCTACAGGCTATTTATATAAGCTTGTTTATCCATATGAACTTTTTCAAGGGCACAGCATAGAAGACCTTAATAAATTAAAAGGAGTTTCTTTGATGTTGTTCCATGAATGTTTGATCAGTATGAGTAGCAGGTTTGCATTAAAGAACTGGAGTAAAGCAATAAAGTATACATATTCTGTGTAGCAGAACCAGTTTACAGAGAGTGCCCCTTGCATTTTGCATTCCTCCCAACTTCTGAGAATCAGGGTAAATACTAGGGAGTCACTATGCTTACAACTACAGTTTTAGCCTCTCACCGGTTTACTAATAGTGGGAACAACATGTTACAACTTGGGTTCTCTGCCAAAATCCGATGGAAAGTTTACAATAATAAAATCTGTGATCTTCTTCCAGGCCCCTAAACACCCATCCCAGCCTCCCTGTTTCTCTCACTGACATCGTCATGTCCTTCCAGACTGGAACCGTGAGAGCAGAGACCATGTCTGCTTTTTTCTTTTTTTCCTTTTCCCATCTTTATCATAATAAGTAGTGAGAGTGTTGAGTTGATTGAAGGCCACAAAGCCCAAATGAATTAGTCACACTCTGAAACCGAGAGAATTCTCACCTGGAATTTTTGAAGATGGTGATCCAAATTAAGTATCTTTGGGAATGAATGTGATGTCATAAAGAACACTTAAGACAGAAAAGCAAAATAAATAGATAGATAGATAGATAGATAGATAGATAGATAGATAGATAGATAAATAAATAAAGTGGAATTCTAGTTTTAGATCTGTGAACACTTAACTGTAAACCCTTTCTAAAATGAAGGCATAGTTCTTTGTGCTCTCTAATTCTGTATCTCTAAAAGGCATGATTCCAAGAGTAAGCAGGGCTATCACAAAATAGAAGAATGGGCAGCCAAGGGAACCATTAGATTTTTCTACTTTGGTAGCCTCTCCTACCACAAAAAACCTATAAACTACAAACTACTTGAAAGAAAAAATGGAAATAAAGGAAAAGATGATTATCCTAAATAACTTAATATAAGTCCAGTCCCTCAAGCAACATATTTACAATTTAATAATGACATTTTGTACATTGTGTGATTTATAAGCTTTTGCACTTATTCTTCCATCTTGCATGATTTGGAATAAACATGAAGACAGCCTTCTGAATAAGCTCTTCTGTATATAATAAATATTTATCGGGATTATATTCCCATCTTTAGCTTGGGAAAATTCCCTACTACTTTAGCTTCTGGAACATGGACCGTTGTGTGGCCAAGTTGACATCTACATTCTTAGGTCAGAGGGCTGTGAAAGGAGAGCATAGATGTGCCTTGGCTTGTTTGTTCTCTGCTGTCTGAAACTCACATCTCGCCCTTGCGAGCTACTGTGTCATATGTCCTTCTCAAGCTTTGAATGTCAGTCAGCCTAGAGCCAGAGTCTGGGAACTATGGCTTGTGAGCCCATCTGGTGGCAGCTACCTGCTTTGTAGGCACAGTTTCATAGCACACAGTCACACCCTGTTGTCTATGGCTGAATGCATGCTGCAATGGCAGAGTTAAGATAATCCCCAGAATCTACAGTAAAATGTGTACAATAGGGCCCTTTACAGAACATGTGTGCCAATCCCTGCTCTAGAGGAAAACAACATGTTGCAATTTAAACTCTAATTTTCCTTCCCTCCTAAACATACAAAACACAAACCCTAAGTGCCGATGGCAGAGAGGAATGGACTGACACATGCACATGCACAAAGATGATCACACCTCTGAGCACAGGAATATAAACAGCACTGCTTTGACCTCTCATTTTAATGTAAGTCCTCTAAGGGTTACAGCTCCCTACTACCCTTTCCTACAACAGCCAAGAACACAGGCTCTCTCCAAAGTAGCTGTCAAGTTGTCACCACTAACTAAAGAACCTCACTCCTCCCTGAGCAAAGGTTGCCTGAAATTCTGCCAAATGTCCATTTTATCCCACTCTCGGCAAGGGGCTAAAAACTAGGTTAGGCACAAGAAACCTGGAGATCCTTTGAATGACACACCCTTAAAGTTGGAAAAATCAATGACCAACACCACATGTACATTGAAAAACATACGCATACATACTAAAATGCTAGAAATATAAACATTTTTAGGAATCACAGGAGCACACAAGAAATACCTCTCTTAATTTCTAGAGAGAAGAAGGCCTAAAATTTTAAAATAATGATTTAAGTGTAACTGCACCAAAGGTTTAGAGGACAAGTACATGTTTATATTTGCAACTTCTAGACAATACGTATAGAGACTTGAAACATTAATGCATGACTTCTTTTTTTTTATTAATCAATAAAATCATTGCTCAAAATGCCTGCTACAGTTAGACTCTATTTCCTTCTTTGCTTTGGTGACAAAAGACAGAAAAATTAGCTCTACCCTTTAGCAATATTCTCATACTCTACCCATCAATAAAAATTTGCATGTATTAACATAACTTAAATCCAGGAAGCACTTTAATGTAAGTCATTTCATCCCCATTTCTCCAAAACTTTATATAAAGTGAACGAATACTTTAGGCTGACAATTTTTTGAAAAGAAAATAGAATAGAAGAGGTTCATTTCACCTTCACATGGTGTCTTTCTCATGCAGAGTTCAGATTTCCACATTTGTATCCCTTTAAAGGATTTGATATGCAGGAAAAGAAGAAAGGATGATGGTGAACATTTCATCTTAAAGACAGTTACAGAACACCATAAGCCACAAGGACCAGAGGCTTCCAACTTACCTTTTACGGATGTGTTTGGGGGTGGGCCTTCCATTCGCAAGTTCCATGGAGGGTCCCCCTGGTTAGCAAAGTCCCTCATTTTCAGATAGCTAATTGTAAGTCGGATGATGGACGCCTTGTCCAGCTGGCTCGTGATGGCTGCAGGAAGAGGCAATAACTTGGCCAATTCATAGAACTCAAAATTTTCTTTTCCCCGGCGGGAGCGTGCAGCATCTCGGGATTTCTCCTTTCTCAATGCTTGTAAACTGAAATCAAAGAAGTGACAAAGTATGGTTTAGAACATGTGATTTTCTCATCAGATAGAAACTTTTTTTTTACTTCCCCTTTCCCAAAAAGGGTACCAAAAATCTTCTTCAAAATCCCATGGATCCTGGTAAAATACATTTCAGACAATGTCCACAAATAACATAAATTCTACCTCTGGATTTATATGCCATGAACTCAAGTGCAATGAGTAAAAGTCATTTGCTTGGTAGGATTTTCCCCCTCAATTGACCATGGATTAACATACATTCCTTATTTCTGAAACATGCAATTTACAGGTGTTACTTGATCTTTTCAGCTATAAGCAATGTAAAGATTGGGCTTGTAGATACCTATTCTCATATATTTATCATATCTATTCTCAAGATTGGCTTTGTCCATTTAACTATTATTCTGATGGGATTATAAGCACCAAAAGGATGCATTTAAAAAATTATTTCAGTTATCATCTCTGAGGAAAAAGAAAAATACAAACACAATTCACAGAATCAACCAATAAAAATATTAATGTTCTTCCAGCACTCATTACCAATCAAGACCTCAGTCATGCCGGGACCGGTTTGGTTCAGTGGTAGAGCGTCAGCCTGCAGACTGAAAGGTCCCGGGTTCGATTCCGGTCAAGGGCATGTACCTTGGTTGCTGGCGCATCCCCAGTAGGGGGTGTGCAAGAGGCAGCTGATCAATGATTCTCTCTCATGGATGTTTCTAACTCTCTATCCCTCTCTCTTCCTCTCTGTGAAAAATCAATAAAATATATTAAAAAAAAGACCTCAGTCAGATAAAGAAAACATCCCATTAAAGATGAAGATTTACATGTAACTTTATAAATGTGCCGTTATTCTTATAAATGTGCTGAATACTTTTATTCTCTTATCAATTGACATACCCTAATTAATGGATAGATTCCCTAAATTACTAGAGGATGAAACACATTGCCCAGAAAAGTCAAACTTTGTGATAATATAAATTTAATATTGAAAGACATAAATCCCTGTCGGGGTTATTAAAATTTATAAACATTATAGACATATTACTTCACAGAAGAGGCAACAGGTGGGATCCAGCATTTTTCTTTAACTATTCATGTGCATTTCTGTTTGAAGTTTGCTCACATTGCTGAGGGCAGAACCTGGCACCACTGAACTTGCCTCTGAGCATCTGACAAGAGAATTTCACCTATTCTGAATTGCTCTGATTTGTGTCTGACAAGAAATAAACTCAAAATCAGACACTGGTGATAGGTAATTGGGCAATATTTATAGTATCCAGATACTATTAAAATCACTTCTAGGTATCCATTTTATTGAACTCTGAAGACATTTTAAATCTTTGAGTCTAGCATGCTGGCTTCCCATTATAAAATAGTGAGAATTAGAAACAAGGAAGGGAGACCAGAGGAATAAGTCAAAGTGAGTTTATTAGTAGAATATGAACAATAATATTCCAGGTTACATTAGTGTATACCTGATATTGTTCCTGGTGCAAACATTGTATCCAGGGTAGACACTCAATCTTATTAAATATCTATGTAATTTAAGTAATGCCATTATGTTCTGGTTTAATGTTCCAAATTATTTCATGTTTACTCTATTAATAAAATATTCTGAATTAGCTAACTACTATATTTATCTGAACTAGACAAGTTACTGCTATCATTCTCAGTCTCAGCAGTCTTAAGTGACAAACCTTTGTCTCTTCATATCTCAGGTGGTAACTCAGGCAGAAACATCCCTAATTTACAAGGAAAAGACTTGTTATGCCACTTATATCCCAATATCTTAGCTGGCCTCCATTCAATGCTATAAATGATCAATTGTGTTGAAAATCTATAATAATAAAAGCATGATATACTAATTAGACAGATATCCTTCTGGATGACCTTTCAAACAAAGCTGGGGCTGCAGCCACAGGACCCAGGCTGCTGCCAGGGCTGCAGCCTACTCTTGCATGAATTTTGTGCATTGGGCCTCTAGTTATGTAAGCAAAGTGAGAGGAGCCTTAAAATATGACCAAGTATAAACCTAACTGAGATCCAGGTTAACTCTTAAGATAAAAGAATGACACATTTCCCCCTCTATCTATCATACAAGCAATCTACCTAACACCATTTAAGTCACCTGTGCAAAAACAAAAACAAAAACAAAAACAAAACAAAAATACCTCTCTTTTCACATGTTTCCCTACCGCTTATGTAGTGCAATGGTTCAAGTTCAGTGCTCTGTTCTCTTTATATTATTGTAATTGAATATTCTTCCAGAAGGTGGACTGAACTCAGAACTTTTGTTTTAGTCTAATAAGTGACTATGATGAAGCTCTGGAGCAGATGTTGCAAACTCAAGGGCTCCCAAGGTTAAGGCAGGGGACGGAGATAAGTGAAGAGGTCTCGAGCATGGCAGTGCAGGCAAAGACTTTATGAATCTTAAATCCCTTTCGCTCACACACATTCAGCTAACTACAGCTTTGGTGGCAGGCAGACCTGGTGTTGCCAGAGTTCTGGTTTTTCTATTTCTAAAGAACAAAAACTAAACTTTTACATGGCATTTCAAATTTTATGTCATGTTTTAATTTTGTGTTAGCTAGTGAAAGTTCTAAAAATTACACAAGCCCATTAAAATATGCCATTTGGTCAACAATGGAGTAGGGATGCATTTTTATAATTGGCTAATAATTTGGGAGACTACTTTTGAAGGTAGTTTTAGTGGATGATATATATGATTTTCCTTGAGACATGTCACTCAAATGATCACAAATAAACTCATTTGTTATCTAATTTAATATTACTAATCTATTCATGTTAGGAATATTTCTGTTCACCTGAAGCAATGAGAGGATTAGGCAATTATTCTGAAGTTGATATTAATGCATGAGCTCATCAATAAACTAAAGAAAAAAATAAGCTTATGGGGAGGAAAGCCCAAGATGACAGAAAGCAACCCAATGGGCTCCAAAGCCTAGCAGAGGGGAATGGGAATATGTGGACACCAATGCCTTATGGCATTCTGCTCCATACTGCCCTGACACCTGACTGTTCTAACCCAGCACTGAGCACAACTTATTCTCTGTGTTCCTACTCCACATTCTGTTGTTTTTCTGTCCCATCCCCACCTTTTTTACTCTAGCACACATTGTTACCCCACTGGAATATTCTTCTTGGCCATAATCTCAATAACAAAGGGTTTCCATGACTCCCACATCACATCATTATGCAGACACCATAGTTCAGAAGACTTTCAGAATGATAGCACTGTGTAATAAGTAGTAATTGGTTTTGAGGGCAATGGCAATAAAATACAGTCAAAGGATTATAGAGGTTACAGAGATGCTGACAAAAATAGATGAAGCTAAGGACCTAAAGACAACAACACAGATTGAGGATTAATCTTTTGTCTGCTTTTGTGAAGTAGAGCCTACTTATAAGCAATTCTTAAATTGATTTAAGGACTATATTAAAACCTAAAATAAACTTTGTATTTATACATTCTGTTCTAAACAAACAAAAAAATATTCATAGAATACTAAAGAAAAGATGGCTTATTTGTACATGAGCAAAATGTTTGAACTCTGCCATTTATAATATGATTATGCTTCAGAGTCACTGTAAGTACTCCCTGGGCCCAAACACCCCACTGCTGATGCTCTTCCACTCAGGCTCTGAGAGCAGGAAGAAGAGGAGACCACCTTATCCCTCAGCAAATAAAAGTGCCAGCACTCTTCATTGAGGACATTACCAGCACTACCACCAACTAAAAACCAAAAAATCAACAGCTACTTCAAAAGGGAGACATATACATATAGATGTGTAGAGATAGAGATAAATGAAAGTTGGAAGTTCTATATGAAGTTGTATGTATATGTGTATATTTGTAAATGATTTTCAGATTATCCTTAGGGACCCCATCTGCCCAACCAAAAGGGTAATGATCTAGTATCTCCAATTTCCTCTGAGCCTTATTAAAATTCCCCCCTCTTCTTGTCATTGATGTTGCCAGAATTAATTTATCATAAACATGTATCTCCAGTTTCAATAATATTATTTAACCTATGTTTCTTCTCAATACCTTGGAATAATTTTTACAAGTTTCTAAAGTTATACCTTATGCACAGATAAGAAGAAATCAAAAGCTTTTACTAGTATTAACAGTGCACATTAAATGAAAAGTGTTGTGTGTTTTTTTTAATCCTTTTGTGACTCTTAAATCCCTTGGCAAGTTGTGTATTTTGTGCAAAGACTCCTGGTGAAGAAGTTAAAGACACATGTTGGCCCTTTGCTGCCATTACAATTATTCTAACTCACAAAGTTGAGCCTTAATTTTATCATTTTATAAAGTGAGAATGATAAATAGGGCATATTTTGGCAAATCCCCTGAGAGTTAACTGTAAAGTAGTAAACTTCTTGGGCAGTTCTAGATTTTAACAATTAAGATAGTTTATGAACTCTAAATGTGGTAGAGTCCAATTTAGAACTTCACAACAGAATTTTAAGGAATTGGAAAGGCTCAGAAATGCCCAAATTGAAGTCAACCCATCCTCAGACTTGGAGCATAGGTATGAGTGAGGGCTCCGTGGCCAGATTGTGGACCTTCACATCACCAGGCAGTTACTCGCTGGGCAACCTTGGGTAGGCCTCTCAACCTTTTTAGGCCTCAATTTCCTCATCTGGAAAATGGACATTTTAATAATACCCACTTCATAATAGTCCTGAGAGGAATAATTGAGCTAATGTGTGCAAATCGCTAAATGCCTACCATATTGTAAATATTATATAAACAGTAACTCTTATTATAGTAAATGTAAAACTTATATGGGGGGGGGGGGGAGAAGCCCAACTGTTTAATCCTACCACCACATCTGATTGCCACCCTATTTCTCAATAATTCTTTATGGTTTTCTTTAACCAAGCTTCTTTTCTGCCATCATGTTTGGCTATAGTTTCTATAATTCGGAATACCTGTTTGCTTTACGCATTGTCCTCTCAAGATTC